TTTATAAATAAAATGCTTTTCTTAACTTCATAACTCTTGCAGTCTTTGTCATGTTTAATTAATAAACTTAAAAACTTCAACATAAATTTCAAGGTATAGTTTTTTTTTAATTATGATCAAAGTTTTGTAGACTTTCTTTTTTAGTATTATAAGTGTGTTCTTTTAGTGTTATAATTTTTAGTGTCATCTATTCAGCTTTTAAGTTATTTTTTAAGTTTTCAAAATATTTTTAATACACAATGACTAATTGAGTTGGACAAATAACTAATTTCATTAAATGTCAAACTTTTACAGCTGCCTTTTTTAATGTTCTTTCTGTCTCATTTTGTGTCATAGAGTTATTGTATTGTTTTTTTTTCTTAATGAGAAGAGTAATTTTAATGGATGAGCTTAAATATTTGACCTAAAATAATATTTTATATAGTGATATAGTTATCATAAATTTTTCAGCTGCGTTATAAGATCTTATTCCTTGTAAAGAATAATACCAAATTTTAAAAATATATACCATCATTACAAAATGAAAAAAGTTTTTTAATCTCAATTTTAAAATATAATAAGTATAAGGTGTTTTAAACAAAGAATTATCTTACAAATAGTTCTACTAAGTATATATATATATATATATATATATATATATATATATATATATATATATATATATATATATATATATATATATATATATATATATATATATATGTATATATATATATATATATATATGTATATATATCGATGGTTAAGAGCACAAAGGGAATATGTCCAACATTTTATGGTTTTGAGTTATTGCTAGTTATTATTATTAAAGTATGTAAAAGAAAAGAAAAGAAAATAGTAAAAAACAAGACAGAATTGATTGAGGAATGCATTTGGTTAAAAATCATGACAATAAATAAATATCATGAATTATTGTATGTTTTCAAACTTTCAAATTCAGATTTCTCAAAACAATGGTTAGTGGACGTATTCCCTTTGTGCTCTTAACCATCGATGTGTATATATATATATATATATATATATATATATATATATATATATATATATATATATATATATATATATATATATATATATATATATATATATATATATATATATATATATATATACATATATATATTATATATATACCTATATATTATATATATACATATATATTATATATATACATATATATATATATATATATATATATATATATATATATATATATATATATATATATATATATATATATATATATATATATATATATATATATATATATAAAATATATATATATATAGGTCGATCTACAATAGTTGTGAATGAAAATGGTTCTCTATATTGTGTTGCTGTGGAGGAGCAATCTTCAATTGAGCTTCAAAATAAAAAAAGCTTTAGTAAAGTTATGTTACAATCTTCAGAACAGCAACCTTTTGAAGAACGTTTAAGAGTTGCACATAAAGATATATCGCGCATTAACTTTGAGGAATTTGATGGAAGTGATGAAGAAGATGAGCTAGAGGAACAAGACGAAGAAGAAGAAATTCAGGTATTAAATTTTTCAAAAAATTTTGATTTTGTTATTGTGAGGTTTCAAATTTTACAACTTTAAGAACTGGGGCAGAGGTTAATCACTGTTCTGTAACTGTCATCTAAAATTAATTAGTGTTAACAATTAAAATGCTTATTTTAAATGTTTTAAAAAGTAGACAGCATTATATACATTTAAAATCAACTGAAACCAATATGCTTATCACTTCATCAAGAGGCTCTAAGCTTTTCAGGGGTAAAAAAAACAAACAATGTTTTCATTAAATCTTTATATTACATAAAATAATTTTCAAATTTCTTCAATTTTTTTGCATATATCAAATAAATGATATATTTTGTAAGTTAAAAACCAAGAAAAGAGAAGAAAATGTTTAGATCATTGTTTTTGTGTATCCATAAAGATTGATTGATTGGACTATGTTACTACAGAGGTAGCCTGTTTTTTTATTTGTTATAAATTTTCTGAAATAAATTGACTTTTTTTAAGTAAAATAATATTCTGTTGCCTCTGTAGTAACATGGTATAAAATAATTTTACAATAAATCTTGTTTTTATTAGACTTTTTTTAAAAAAAATTCATTTTTATTTTTATTATAAAAATTATAAGGCTTAAGCTGTAATAACAATTTCTTTTTATATATATATACATATAGATTCGAGAGTTTGACTGTTATAAAGATGGAACTTTTAAAATGGAAGATATTGAGCTTACAGCAGCAACAGATAATCTACTTGCTGATTTACAACAACAAGATGATTATAATATGAGATTTGAACTATAGATTAGTTCATTTACGAATTCGATTTTTAATATAAGATATATACCATGCCTTCGATAGGCAATATTTTTTCTGCAGTAATAAACTTCTTTCATGAAATTTTGATATATGCGTGTGTCACGTAATTGTATATACGTTAATACAAATATATATTAAATATATATTTATTTTTCCATTTTTATTTAAGTTTTTTGTTTTTTTATTATGCAAACCCAAACTGCTGGTAGAGTTCTGAGTAAAAAATGTTTAACGAATTACGCTTTATTAGAATTTGTGTTTAACTAAAAAAACCAGGGCCGACAACACAGGTGGGGCCAGAGGGTACGCTCTCCCCCCCCCCCCCCCCCCTCCACATACTTTTTTTTAAAAGAAAGTTCTTGATATAGAGGTCTTTTTTTTACAAATTGATTATTGTGCCCCCCCCCCTCCACTTTAAAACCCATGTTGTCGGTTTTTAAATTATTAAAGTTATTTTGCATCATTAGCAACAAAATTAGAATTAGGTTCTAAAACTAGTGTTGAAACACTAAAAACATGAAAAATTTAAAATTTTAAAAATATTATTTTTTTTCCGCTGTTTTGAAAAGGATGAGTCCCTTTAAGGTTTTTACATTCGGAACATTTAAAAAAAAAGACACTTGACTTTCTATAGGACTTTGCAGTTGAATGAAAAACTCATTTTTGCTTTTTATTAACAGCATGAACACTGAATCCGCTTGTCGTACGGAAGTCTGTCTAAAAAAAAATTTAAATGGCATTAACTATATTCTTTTCCAAAAAAATCCAATGAAACAGGTTTCTCTTAATTGATTAAGTGCCTAACTACTTTTGCCTAATAATGTAGCATTTACGGTTGAGGTGTTGAGGAAATTTCGCTTTCATTATGACGACTCTAGTCAACTATTCCATTTTGCTAAAATCTTAAGTTTAATCTAATTTTTTTTCCCAACTACTTTAAATGCATATTTTAAAGGTATGACTAATTTAAAATCGATATTTGATGTTTGATTATAAGTAAATGGTTTATGACACTATTGCTCATCATTTAGTGCTTAGACCGTGTTACAATTTAAAAAAAAATGAAAATGTCATAATATCTATATATAATATGTCAATATATCAATCAATATCAATATATTTTTGAAATAGTTGTTCGTTCCCGGAAGTTTTCAAATAGTACATGTAATAATCTTAAGCAAAAACCTTACAAATAAAAGCTAATAAATATATCATTAATGCCAATAGTAATATTAATCGTCCACAGCAGCAGCAAAACGAACATTAAAAGTTGTAGAAGTTAAAATAATAATAATAAAAGTTGTAGTAGTAACAATGATAACAATAAGAATAATAATGATAAAAATAAAAAGTAAATTAATTACAATAATCATAACAAAAATAATAGTAATCGAATATTAGTTAAATACATACACACATACAAATACAAACACACATATACACTTACCTTCACAGATACATAGAAACCAAATGAGGAAATTTTTATTTGAGTATATATTTAATGAATATTAGTTTTATCTTTTATTATTATTGCTTTTTTTATATTACTGTGTTTATAAAACTATTATTACTTTTATTTTATACTATCTTTTTTAACTCTACTAATTTACTATTATCATTAATTTACCTTTGTTTTATAAATTAATATTATTTGTAATGATAGTGATTCAATAGTATTAATAGTTTTTTGTCCTAATTTTTGCAATTGTTATGTTTAATAATTTCTGTCATAATTATAAACTTTATTAAAATTATTTTTACTATAGTTTTTATCATTAGTTATAATTTTTAGTAAAGTTATCATGTTATAGTTACTATTTGTAATGTTTTTTTATTCATTCTATTATTAATATTATTATTATTTTTATTATATTATTATTTCAATCATTAATATTATCTTTGTATATTAGTGCTTCGTTTTCATTTCTTTCTTTTCTTTTTTCTTTTTTTTTTTCCCTCTTTGTTTTATTTTAAATTCTTTCTATGTATTATTTATAGCTTTTTTTTTTGTTTTGTTTGTAGGTTTCTAGTTTTTAACTTTATGAGTGACACCTAACCTTATTTGTATAACGGGTCACAACTAAATTTTTGCCCAAACTTTGGGATAATGTCAATAAAGATCTGCTTTGTGTATATTTTTAAAATTTTAACAGAATATACTCAAAAGCATTCTCTATTCAAATATATTTTTAAATAGTTCGTATGATTTGTAGTTCAAAAAATATCACGCTATAATGTATGAAGATCTAAAATCCATTTTGTATAAATACTATCAAAAAAACCATGGACTGGGGCGAAAACATATTTTTGATAAATTTATCAGCATGGGAGCTCCAAAAAGGACTTTAAATCATTGGCTTAGCATGCTGGAACAAAATAAAGTACTAACTAGGAAAAAAGGAAGCGGTCCTCCGACCACTATAGCGACTGTAAACAACATACGTAAGATGAAAAATTTCTTCAATCATCGGAAGGGCTGCTCACAGAAAAGAGTAGCTAGCAAGCTAAAAACGACTCAGCAATACGTTTCAAGATGCTATTGCAAAGAACAAATATCAGATGTCTAAAACGCACCGTCAAACCAAAGATGACAGCCTTACAAGTCAAGTTAGCAAGGCCAAAGTGTGGACGACTTTTCCTCAAATTTCGTGATGTCGATTTTATTTTGGATGATGAATCGTACTTCACTCTTTCCAACACAACTTTGGCTGGGAATAACCGATTTTACTCAGATGATATTCAAAAGACTCCTACTGATGTGAAGAACAAAATGAAGGCAAAATACGAGTCAAAACTACTTGTTTGGGTGGCAGTTTCACCTCGAGGAATGAGTAGTGTCAAATTTTTCAAGTCTGGCCTGGCAATCAATATATTTACCGTGACGAGTGAGGTAAATATATTGATTGCTATTGAAATCAATATATTTACCGTACGAAAGAGGTTGATTCCTTTTATTAACAAATACTATAGGAATGGTAAATACGTATTCTGGCCCGATTTAGCTAGCTCCCACTATGCAAACTCAGTCCACGCCGACCTCAGAGACAAAAAAGTCAATTTTGTACAAAAACAAGACAACCCAGCAAACGTCCCGAAAGTCAGGCCAATTGAGGATTTTTGGGGATTTTTGAAGCAGAAAGTGTATGAGAAGGACTGGCAGGCTAAAACTATCACTCAACTCAAAGCTAGAGTCAGTCTTTGCCTTCGTAATTTTGGACAAAGACCTTATACACCGCACCTTCAGCTCGGTACACAAAAGACTCGATTTTGTCAGAAGGAATGGAATCGAAAAAACTTTAAAAGACATTTTTTCTAACACTTAAAATTGTTGTTTATAAAATGCAAAAAACCGTTTTAAAAAAAATTGTAAAATGACTGAGATATCTTGTTTTAAAAGTTGGGCAAAATTTTAGTTGTGACCCGTTATAACCTTATTATGTGTGTGTGTATATATATATATATATATATATATATATATATATATATATATATATATATATATATATATATATATATATATATATATATATAAATTTTCTAAGGATGGGCAAAACATTTTTTGTTATTGCTTTTTTTCCTGTTATCTTTTATGTAAAAATCAAGATATGTAAGATATAAAATAAAGAGAAGAAAAAAATTATATGTCCGTGGAAAAAATAAGACAATTTAAACTTGTCAGCACCGTTTTTGTGTATAAAATATTCACATTTTTTTTATTGATCTTTATTAAATGTATATTAAACAGGCATTGGCTCCAAAAAAGATGAAGATGATAATACGTCATTGTAATCTTTGCACAGAGCCTCCACATAAAGTTTTTTTTTTTTGATTGAAAATGTAGTGTGTAAACTACGAAACATGCTAAGATTGAAAAATATCGTGTTTGTCATACAAATAAGCAATTAATTAATTCGGAAAAAACTTAATTAGGTTTTTTCCAAAACTGTACTAAAAGATATTTTTTACAAAAAATTTAGTAACAAACTTTATGGCATGAAGAACGTTACAAACAAGAAGATTTTTTTCTATATTCAGAAAATACAGGGGGGGGGGGAATTGCCCTCTCTTGCCCCCCCTTGCGGGCGCCCATATATATATATATATATATATATATATATATATATATATATATATATATATATATATATATATATATATATATATATATATATATATATATATATATACACATATATATATATATATATATATATATATATATATATATATATATATATATATATATATAAAATATATATATGTATATATAGATATATACAAACATACACATATATCCATGCATACATATACACATACATACATATTTACATACTCTTATTCACATACACAGATACACATATCTTTGGATTTATTATCTTATTAACTGTATGTATTGTTAGGTTTCCAAAACTCTGTAGTATCTCTCATAGAGGTTTATTCCATCAACAGCTGTAAAGTATTAGAGTATTAACAGTGCCATGTTGTGCATGGATGGTGTCCCTGTTCGTATTTTAATTGTGCAATTTCGATGCCACAATAGGAGTCTTTTATTACGGCATAGGGTTTATTAATAGTAATGAGGGATTACTTGGACTAATAGATAGTGTACTGAGTACTATCTGTGCTTTGAGTCAAGTTTAGTAACAAATTTAAAAAAGACGAAAGACCGAAACTATAAAACACAAAAAACCATCTTTTTCACCAAGTTCTCAAAACCTATCATTCACTAAAATTCGTGGTAATTTTTCTTCTGTTGAGTCTCATCTCTTGCAAAGTTAACAAGACTTTTTTTTTTCTTTTTGAGAATAATTTGAGTCTGGAATCTCATCTTTTGATTTTAATGCTGATGGTTATCTATATGGTTGTTGTTAGTGACTTTACGCTCATCGCACTGAATGGCTTGGCTCTAACGTCAATGACACTGCAGACGTTAAAGCCCACAACTTTTGTCTTTCTCAATCTCTTACACATATTATCATCTTTCCAAATCGTCCTCTAGCCAATCAAACCATTATGTAGGAATTATTTACGCTACTTTGTAAATCGTTAATGAATGGAATGCTTATTGAGCTGAATAACTCGTCAGTCTTTATATAAAAAACATCCAACACTGCATAATGAGGTCCATGGCCATAATACAGCTGATGACCGCTTAACATTCCA